GGAGCTGTTGAGTTGTCTCCAGTCAGGGGAATTTTTGGACGGCGTCCATGTTTTTCTCCATTGGTCAAGTGCCTGCTTGGTCCACTTCATGCCCCAGAAAGGTGATCAGTTTCACTAGGAATGTTGATTTCTTGATATTGATTGCTGCGCCGGCCACTGTTAAGTCCGTAAGTATGAGATCGAGGTTGTCACGCACCTGCTGGAAGTTGGTTCCAAACACGATGATATCGTGCATATATATGAGGCACCTTAGAAAAAGATGTTTTTGTAAAATGATGTTAACTGCCCGTTGAAATGCTGCAGGGCCGTTCTTGAGTCCGAATGGCATCACCAGGTACTGCATTTGCCCTCTGGGCATCCAGAATGCAGTTTTCTGTCTGTCCGGATAGGCTATAGGTAAGTGGTGGAAAGCAGAATGAAGGTCTATTGTACAGAAATATTGATTATGCCTGCCCAAGGCGTCTAGTAAATCTTGAATGACAGGCATCGGGTAGTGGTTGTTGCTCAGCGTGTCGTTTAACACTTGATAGTTCTCCACCAATCTCCAGCGTTTGTTGTGCGGAGCATTCGGATCATCACACTTCTTTGTGGTAAGGAAGGCAGGTGAGTTAAACAGTGATGCAGTGGGCTCAATGATGCCCGCTTTGACGTACTTGTCCACTAAGGAGTTGAACGGTGTGGTCATCTCTGTTGACTGCCTGAAGGATTGAGTTGCTGGGATTTTGTTGGATGTGGACGTCAGGGTGACAATGTGCTCCAGGAAGAATCCACGGCTGCCGGACCACTGATGTATGCCTTCTGCATGTCTGCACAGTATCCAAGCAATTTGCTGGCATTCTTCATTGGAACCATCCACGAAGGAAATACCCTCCCTGATTGCAAGCATTGGTTTAGCACTATTGCAAGAAGTTTGCTGAAAACCCACAAAAGATCTTTCACCATCTACCGTCAAAGTTACCGGTAACTGCAAGAGCGCGGACCGTCCGAGGATGATTGCAGGGTCCGATAGCACCGACAAAACCAAGAACGGTACGTGATACTCGGCACTGCAAGAACAAAAAGATAACTGGACTGAATGACTGACCATAGCTGCTGAGGAAGTCAGGGAGGTATGCACCGACATACTGAGGGGAGTCGTTCAAAGCTGCAGCAACAAAACCAACCACTGCAAAATGAACGCGTGTGACACTCCCGTGTTGAGTAGAGCCGGAACCGTCTGCTTCCCAATCTGTAGATCCAGGATAATCGGAGGAGGAGCGGCGGAGTCAGCTGCCACACAGTGTGCCGCATTCACTGTGGCTTGCTGGCATTTCCCTGGTTCAACATAGGACAAAATTTACTAATGAGGCCATGCCTGTGGCAATGAAAACAGAGAGTTGGATTCACCTGTTTGGATGATGAAGATGTCTGCTGCGTCATTGTCTGCGCCGGTTTGGTGTTTGCTGCTTGTTGTCCCCCAGCTGCTGCTCTGGCTCGTTGCTGAAGGATTCTGCAGTCCTGCAGTGTGTGTCGAATGTTTTGCTGGTGACCCTTGCACCACTGGAATGGAGGTAGGTTTGCCTTGCTGGTTGGAGACCGTTTTGTGAAAGCTGGTCCACCGCCGGATGTGGTCTTCAAAGCCGGTTTGGATGTTGCGTGCTTGTGGAGTCAAAACTTCTCTGCCTTGTTGATCGCCTTGTCCCATGACAGGTTGCGGTTGTCAGCCCATTGTTCTCGTAACTCATCCCTCAGTTCCTCGGATGTTGCCATTAGCAACTGATTGATAAGCATCTTCTGCCAGATGTCAGCTGCCAAAGCAGGTTTTTTGGGTGTCGAGCCTAGAAACAGGTCAAATGAATGCTCCAGTTGTCCGGCAAAGCTGATGAAGCTTTCCCCTTGCTTTGGTTGTGCCTGCCAAAACTGGTCCAACCGGTCCAGATGTGGGGTTGGGTGAGCCCTGGCTATGGCTGTTGCCAAGGTCTCAAATTCCACAGAACCTTTGCGGAATAAGATGGCCGCGGAAGCCTGGACATTGGGTAGAGTATTATGTAGTAAACATTGGACTTTCATCCCCAAGGTGACGTTGTCTATTGCCAACATGCAGCGGAGTTGGTGGGCATAATCCTCAAACGGTTGGTCTTCCTGCTGTTTAGGGAGTTCAGATAGGCGTAGCTCACCGGAATGCCATGATGGTAGTGGTGGGAGTTGGGGCGCTGTCAGCGCCGTACTCGCTGGTGAGCCGCTTGACGGTGTTAGGAAGGACCACAGTGCTGTTGGCTGAAATTGCGACGCCTGGTGTTGCCATCCTGGAGGCGGAAGCCAGCCCTGCGCTAGTTTGGGCGGGATGAGGTTCTGCTCCAAGAGGGAGATGAAGTGTTTCCTGTTGGTCCCAGCCGGTTGGCCGAGCTTGTATGCATGGACAAGGTACTTGAGCGTTGGCATCGGAACAATGTCCCACCCCAATGGTCCTGCTTAGCTTGGTTTGCCTGCGTTGCGGGGTATTCCTCGCGTCATTGCCATGGATTCTGCGTGTGTGTCTCCCATAGCTTCGTTGACCATGTTGCCTGTGGGTGGTGGGACATATGGGTATGCTGCTGCCTTGGAGTTCTCAGTTGTTGGACCATCCACACGTATGCAAGTGTTGATCAGAGATGAAGGGTTTGGACCAGACGAGACCCCAATAAGGAAGTTATCAGAAATAAATGGTCTTCAACACTTGCCACAATGTAGATGTCGTCTTCTTGATTCACACAACATATAAATACAGTCAATACATCACAACATAAAAAGGGAAGTGCTCAGTACAAAGGCTAGGAGCGAAGTGAAGTCGGAAGCTCCCTGCTGGTTCCACGTCTCCTCTGGGCTGAGTATCTGGATGTTCCGGTGAGGCAGATGGGTACGGTGAATGACACAGGAGTTCCACAGGGTTTGTATAGGTGTCGCTGTAAGGGGATACCTTACTACAGACAAAATCACTTGATAGCGCGACTGGATCAGTGATTTATGTAAATCTACAAATCTGCAGTGAATGCTTATACGGTAAGAAACTTGAACTGACTTGTACATGTTTCAAAAAGTGGCATAGATGTCACTAATTACCTCTTCATAATCTTCATGTTGAAATTCTGGGTTTTATACTTTTGTTCTATTTCTTCACAGTATTATGAACAGTACCAATGTTTCAATCACGAATCGCACCTTTCACATACAGAACGTTCTATTTGTTGCAAAATGTTTGGATGTCATAGCAAAATTTTATGACAGGCATCTTGCAGACTTGCGTGAAGTATAGAAATCCATCACTGCCATTACTGTGCTTACTTCACATGAATCATCCATGGATGTCCTCACAATTGAGCTGGCCATTTGGGTTTCTGAAGGAGCATAGTGAGGGTGCCAGCAAATGCCTTCATCTCAGTGAATGTGAGCACCCTGGGTCAAAGATTTATGCTACTGGGAAGAGTTTTGGAAAATTCATTAGGACGAGAGATGTTCTGGCAGCATTAATCATTGACAGGACTTCAATCTATTCCAAAATTAATTTTGATTCCAGGGAAGTTTCATGCTGCTTAGTTCAAGAAAATTTTCGACACCAAGTTTCCTACCGAAAGGCCGTGTGTTCATAAGTCCGTCCACCGTTCAAAAGACAGGGACATAATCTTGTACAAGCTCATGACTTGCACTTGAGCTGAGAATTGTTGATCAGACAGCCCACTATAGACATGATAAACAAGGGCAGGATTGACTTGGATATATTGATTGGCCCTCCATTATCTGCAAAAACTCAATTGATCAGATAACTACTTCACGATAGAGATTTCACAATACAAAGGGTCCTTCAACGAACATTCAACAGTAGGATACTTCTGGGTGGCGGGTTTAAGAGTGTTCAGCTAGAAAATTTTCTCTGGAACGCAGGAGACGACTCAGAATAAAAATCCAGATCATTTACAGAGCCACAAAAAAAAAAACACCCCTTACTTGAGTTACTTCTGGGCTTTCCTCTCCATCTGTGGGTGTGGAACACATCTTGGTTTAGTAGAGACATTCATTTCCCTCACATGTGAGATCAACACTATCTGACTCAGGAGTGTAGAAGTCGGTGTACCTTTACTCATTTTTTCCATTTCAAGGAATGAACTCATTGTACAGTGGTACCCCGCACTACGAACCCCCCGCAGAACAAATGTTCCCCTTAACGAACGTTTTTTTTGTGGAAAATTCGTTTTTTTCACCCCTGTAGAACAAACAAATTTCGTACTACGAACAGGGGTGAATTCACACCCTTCTTCGTTGTACAAACAAATTTGGTACAACAAACAAGTTTTGTTTTTACTGTACTACCAACAAAACTTTTTTTCTTGTCTAAAATTTCGAAATTTTACATTAGTATTATATACCGCAGTATATAATACTGCGGTATTATATAATACCACTGTATATAAAGGGTTGCAATGCTGCAATAGCAACGGGCACAGCGGATTCCACAGCATTGAAACGCAGATCCGGTAGTACGGATCTGCGTTGCAATGCTCTGATTGGCCAGAGTGTTCCCACTCTGACCAGAGCAGGAACCGCGGTACAATATTATAAAATACCGCGCGGTATTTTATAATACCGCGGTATACAAAACTTTCTGTTCCCGCTCATTGCAACGCGGATCCGGTAGTAAGGATCCGCGTTGCAATGCTCGGATTGGCCAGAGCCAGAACACTCTGGCCAGAGCAAGAACTGCAGTATTATATAATACCGCAGTATGTAAAACTGTCTGTTTCCACACTCATTGCAATTCGGATCCGGTATGGAAGAAGTTGAAACTACTGTTCAAGACAAAACTATTTTTTCCCTTTTTTAACAAAAAAATCCAACTTTTTGGTTTTGTGGAACCAATTAAACGATTTCCCATACAAGTCTATGGGAAATCGTGTTTCGCATTACAAACGTTTCGTACTATGAACGTAGCCCTGGAACGGATTACGTTCGTAGTGCGAGGTACCACTGTAATTCAGTGATTTCAAAAATATTTCAAATTCTCAACAATAAATTACGCGTCCCAATGCATAAACTGTGCATGAAAAGGCATTCTGCAGCAGATCAGTCTCAGTGGGCATGGATTCACTGTTCTGCAGGCATTTAAACTTGGGAAATTTGAGACTTGGGCCTCACAAATGACTTCAGGAAATGACAGGCCAGCAGAAGTTGACCACCAATTCTTTCATTCCATCCATCATTCCATGTGCAATTCAATGAACTCTTCTCAAACAATAAGAAAAAAAGAGGAATATTATAATCCCGTAACAGAAACGCATTTTCAGAGAAGCAGGCACATCTAATGGCGCCTAAAAATGAAGAAGTGCGCCAAACGAATAATAAAATCGCGATAATTTCTCGAGCTCTTCAATGAAGCGTATGAACATCACCGCGCTTCAATGCATTGCTGCCATGCCGAATGGAATGGAACCTATTCTCCAACTGATCCTTCAATATCTTCCCAACTCTAGGAAGTCCAATTCAACTCCCATCACGGTAAACTCGAACGAGCGTTATTTTCTTTACGGAAAATGCATTACGCGATCAGGAAACAACTTAATGAGTTCCGAACAACGCAGAATGCAAAACAAATCGCAATATCAAATTCAATCCAGTAGGTTAGAAGAGTATAGGAATTTCAGGTTCCCCAGAATGAAGGGAAGATACAATCGGCACACACTAAAAAAAATCCATAACTCCCTCAGAACAAACTTGATAAAAAAAACGCCTGAATTCGGGCTTAAATCCGCAATTCTTCTCCCCACGGAAAAGCGTCACCGTCAAAATCAAGCGTATTAGAAGTAGCGAAATCCGGTTCCGGGAGAGTGAATACTTCCGTTTCCAAAGCAGAGGCTATTCTTTCCCACAAGATAGGTACACTGAGGTCCAAAGTGTTGCATCCTTCTGGTAAGTGGATCTGGATCACTGGTTTCCGGTCAGGTTTACAGGCGTACATGTGGTCATCTGGTGTCATCTTTCTAACCTCTTCAATTCGAGGCTCAACCTGACAAAACGCAAGATGAGAAATCAAAAACTCGCGAAACAAGCCTGACGGTCCTGAAATCCAAATTGAAATCGCGGAAGCATGTTCAATAAAGCCGCACTATCATAACCGAGTCCGAACGATTTCACAGAAGTGTGCCTCAACTTGAATACTGTACAACTAATCCAGTCAAACATGTGTACAGTGCAAAATTAGCCTCAATTTCCATTAATTTCAGATGAAATTAATTTCATCTGCGCCCTCTTACCAGAGAATAAGCCAGTTAAAATTTATCAGGCCGTCGGATGGAACTCAAAGTCATTCAGAACATCAATACAAATTACGCACTTGCAGTTTGATTTACAGGCACAGGGCCACAACAACGTGTCAACATCCTCACACTGTCGACTCGAATCGGCGAAATTCGCAAAAAAAAAAATTCACTGACAGGCATCCCTCGACGAAATTTTGCTTGATTTTCTGAGACATCAATTTTCGCCAATAAGCTTAAAAATTTACGCTAATGACGTCAACCATTTGAACTCCGTAAAATTCTCAGATCGCGAAAGCTCTCGGCTCACATACCTCAGGAGATTCGCAGGGGAAATAACGATCGAGCTCGACAAGCATGTCTTCAAGGTCTCTGGCTGTTTCCGACACTTTCTCAGGGATTTCAGGATGATTAACATTGCTGCCAGGAATAAGACGCCCTGTTCCCTCAGCCGGGGAGCACTAATGATCGCAGCAGGACCAACAGGCGTCTTCTGGCATTTCCGTTCCTTCAATTCCTTCACTTCTTTCTGAAGAACCGCATTCAACTCGTACAATAACTCGTTCTGCGTCTTCACGTGCACCAACTGTCAACGTACGACTCACCCATGATAATATAATTGATGAGAAAAAGGCTTAAACAAAATCACCTCTTGACGACAAGCTTCCAATGAATCCTCCAACCTATCTATTCGGGCTTTCTTCCGATCCCTAGCTGTTTGGGCTGCGACACGGTTCTTCATTTTCCGTCTCGCCAATTTTTCATCTGCCGTTAGATGGTCCAACCGCATCCGTTTCCGGACAGGTCGGTCAAATTCTTCATCCGAATCAGAGTACATTCTCACAACTCCACTATCAACTCAAAACTGATTCATCAGTCGGACCGCACTTGACGACGCGCAGCTCACATGATCTCAGGGAGAATTGCCATTGCATCATTCCCGCGCGAGGAAAGCATGAAGATAACATGTCAATCATTAGACGCTACAAACTTGGAAATCAGTTATGCACTTAAAAGAATGTTTGAGATACTTAGAAGTATGCGACTTATCTTTTTACATGTTTTAAAAATGAAAATTTGAAATTCTAAAGCTATTTGTATCAATTAGACCTACTTAATAAACCTAATTTTTTGAGCGAATGGCTGCTTAAACAGTGATCGACTCAGGTACAAGGTTACGCTGACGTGTGATAACAGAAACGTGACGCGGCCGTTCAAATCGCCCATCGCATATCCGTCCCATGAAACCATTGAACTTAGAGGGAAGGCTTCACACAGTTTACAGTATTGGTCAGTGAATTAATGGTGTCAGTGGGGCCCAAATATAGGGTAGTTGCCAAATAAACGATTATTGCGTCGAAAGTCAGTCATCGTTTTCAGGGAGCTGTGATAAATAATTTGAAGGGTTATTGCCGCGAAATTCCGTAAGAGGTGGATTTTTCCACTTGCTTTGACGTATTTACACATTTGGCAGCACTGAGACATTTGGTGCCCATATTAGCCAATGCTGACACAATTCCGTTTGCTACTGAATACACCGTCCTACCATCACAGTCATGCATCAGTTCAAGTTTATGCATGCCCACTATTCACTGGCCACTGTTTACACTGGATTGCCACCCCCCAAAAAAAGACTGGAAGTTTTATAATCATCATGAACATTCCATCTTAGGAAATCTTTTTGATGATGCTGTGTTTATTCTTCATGGAACAAAACTATTGTACAGCGCTGAAAGATCAACGGTATTCATGCCTGGTTTTAACATTTTTTTCACAGAGGGACTTCAGAAAAGACCAGCAGAAATGATACTTCTCACTCTCATAGGCATCTACAGTACTGTATATAATTTTAATTTACATGAGCGGGTCTATATATATCTGCAACTTCAAGTGCGTACATATTTCATCTCAATTGGGCTTGAATATCTAAGAAGCTAAAGTTTCAGGCTTGAGTTTGAAAAATTGACAAGATTCATGCTCTGGATGCCCAATGTATGCATGATGAAAAAATTTGAAGTATGAACCCTTTCAATAATGCAGGTTCATGGTTTTTAACGCATCTGCGATTGTCATCTGATTTGCTTTAGTGTGTCCCAAAACAGGTCAAGAAAAGTCCATTCTTTTGCATGATTTAATGACTGAAGATCTGGAGCTCTATAAAGAAAACACCTCGGAGCAGAGTTATTTGGAAGGTTTTATTCACAATGGCTTGATAAGATTGTATAAGGCACAATGGCACAACTACAGTTGTTCCCAGGTTCACAGACTTATGGTCCGTAAACCTAGCAAACTTAGCAGTCTGTAAACCAGTGGAACTGTGGAAGTATTGTACATTACAGTGAGACCCCCACATGCAGACACCTAAACATGCGGACAATTTGACATAGGGACACTCAATTCCCCATACAAATTAATAAAAGGCCTGGCATGAGGACACTGACTTGACATACAGGGACATTTTGTGATAAAATTTCCAAAAAGTTGCATTCCAAATTACAAGAAACAGATATTTCTAACCATAAAATTGATGTAAGAAAAGTGCTTGGGCATCTCTCACCAATTTACCATCCATTTAGCTAATTTTAAAAATTTTCCTAAAGCATAGAGGGACTTCCTTCTCTGTTTTTCACTTGAATGTTATTTTTTACAGGGAATGCCCACATTTCTATGTAATGTACAGAGGTATCAGTATTACTGTATTCCCCAAATGTCCATATTGTGTTGAAATATATTGATAGAATCAGTTTAAATTGGGAGACAGTTTTTATTTTCATGGAATTATGGTGAGTATTATTTTGTCCATAAAACACATTGCAGTCTTGGGGAAGTGTGAAAGCAATAGGGAATTAAAGTAAATGAATATATTTGAGACTTTTTATAATGTCTGCCGTACAAGTTCCCAACAGGAATCATATTTGATTATAACAGTGGATTTTAGACCAATTTCAAAAACAAATATAAAAATTCCAATTGCTAAGAAATATGGCCAATTCCAACCTATAAAAAGGGTGTGTGTATGTCTTACCTTGGGGTTCCTTGTTGATCCAAAATTTAGGATGATAAAACCAGGTGCACGTCTGAGTCAAGCGCGGATGATACTTGAATAAATACAGTACTGTACAGTACTATACACATGCTGGTAGGATTAGAGTACCAGTAAACTTGCATTGCTGTAATGCAAGCACCTCTGCCCACATGGCAAGTTAGGGAATAGGAAGTAAGATTGGTGGCATTGAAACAGTTTTTCATGACTTTTTCTCATGAAAGGGAATACTATGTCTAGTTTCAAAATGTTGCCCATATATATATTCAGTAGATGCATATAGAATTATGGAGTGCTTGTGTATGCGATTAGCAGCCCTGTGGGAATTCGGCAATCACCAGTATATTTTCCTGTTCGGGTGGTGGCTGCTGTGACTCGGAGAGCTCAAAGTTGCAAAAGTATTCAAGAAGGACGGAATCAACAGAGAAGCGTGTTTATGTTGGCAGGTGTTCAGCAAGGCCTCTTTGAAAATGAGACCCCATCTGCTAGGGGGTTACATGTGATGGAAATGAAAAAAAGAACATGGTCTATGGAGCGCATAACAGCTCAGGATGTGAATCATTCCGTGAGAGACATGCTTTGACAGCTTAGTCCATCCTGAAAAGTGTCAATTTTTCAGTAATTTGAACATCGAGATGCAGTGAGACTCTGACATACGCAGGATTCCACTGCTGGGAACATTTAAAACTAGCAAAAATGTGCCCCAATTAAAATCCAGACAAGTATAATACAACACCTTCCCCCATTTCTCATAAAACTGAATTTTTTCTTCAATATTCTCAAATCTTTTAAACTAATTGCGCTATAACGTTCATTCAGTATTCACAAGGATTAAAAATATAATTCATTTTAAAATTACTTTAGCTCATAAAGTAATAAAAAACATTGGTAATTACGTTTCTTTTTCAAATAAACAATTTCTACCATCATGTCTGAAAAAATATAAAACACAATGAAATGAATATGACACTTTGGCTCTCACCAAAAACTTCCAATATCCCATGCAGTGTTCTGCAAAGTTGTCCTATTATGAAGTATACATAGAACCTAGAACATATAAAATCCTAGAACATATTACAGTATATAGATGAGACCACCAGATGTGGACATAGCTGGTGCATCAAGAGTGTCCCTAAGTTAAATTGTCCCTAAGTTGAGTCTTGTTTTCCCATTGACTTACATTCTACAATTTTTAATTGGTGTTTTATGGAAGAAATATTTTTCAGAATTCCATGAAAAAAAATTTGTTTGCCACTTGAATTTTATTCAGTGAATATCTTGTAAACCCATTTAGAGCATTTAATATTATACCACTGTACAGTTCATTGAAATGTTGGCATCTGTAAAAATAACATCCAAGTCACCAAAAGAGAAGGAAGTCCCTCAATCTGTGCTACAGGTAATTTTTTAATTAGCTGAATTGATGGGAAAGTGTTGAGAAAAGTACCAAGGAATTTTTCTAACTTGGATGTCAGGGTTGGAAATATATTTTTCTTGCAATTAAGCCTAATAAAAGTCAATTCTCCTAAACTTTATTGGGAATTTTATCATGCAATGTCCTCATGTCAAGTCAGTGTCCATATGTTGTGCCTTTTTCATGATTTTTTATTGAAAAATAATTGTCCCTATGTCAAATTGTCCCCAGCATGTTGATGTGTCTGCATGTGGGGGTCTCACTTTGAATGTATTCATGCGTCTGTTAAATTCAGGTTTCAGAATCAATTGTTATTGTACAATGGAACATTTTGGACATAAGGGTTCTACTCAACAGCTGTCCCACTATGAAATGGATTTCATCCAATAAGTGAGGCCCCAATGAATATGAAATACAAGGAAAATCATCCTTGACTACAGAGCACACCTGAATACAATGAGTAGCTTCTTGGAATTCTTGTGATCCATGCACAACATGCTGAGAAAATGTGGACAGTTTATTCTTCAATTGATCATTTTCATAAGTGTAAATCATATTTTGTGGAGATCTGACAAGTCTAACTAGTTCAGCAGCAGATGACTGGAAACTGTGGAAAGTGAAAGCAGGAGGAGACCGAGCAAAAGTGGCTTGTCCAGGGTTGCAGCGTCATTGCACAGGTTCTCATTGTCACAGAAGCAGATTTCCCGCTCATAACGATTAAATTGCTGAGTGTAACAGCCGGAAGTTATTTTCGTCCCAGCTGGTTTCTCTTGTCTGGCTCTTCCACAGAATCTGCTCACCTCAATGGGATAACCTGAATAGGAAAGCCTCAATTTCAAGTCTCGCCTGTATCGCGAATCTACAGTTGGAATACTGTTGAGTGGAACCAACCGTCTTGTATGTGGGTCCACTTGATGCACCATTGGTCACCAAGGCGTGAGCACCTGGAGCTTGATGGCAATTCGTTGGCAGCAAATAAGTCCATCATGGCATCGATGTCTGGCTTTGTGTTGTTATCTGTACCACAAGCACAGTAAAATAATTTATTTCCATATTCTGCAAATACATGTGTAAGAAATAATGAGAAATAATGCATTTGAACAAAAAACTCTACATATTTCAAGAAATACAGTAATATCTCATTACCACAACCTCACAGGGACCAGAGAAAAATTGTTAAAATGACAAATTTGTTATAATAACCGGATGTATGGTTATTTGAGCATGCACAACTGAAATTTGTGGGAAACCCGAAATATATGCTTCATAGTACAGTATTTCCACAACAGATTTGTGAAGAATATCCCACATTTTCAACTTATTTTGATGCAATTATAGATAAATTCAAAAAAGTAAAATACAATTACCTTCTTTCAGACCTTTCCTTTCTTATACTTTCTAAAAATTTACTGATCTTTCTGAATAAGTGTAAGCTGAAACAATCAGAAAATAAATGGGGAAGAAGAGCAATTATTCACCAATAA